TGTAAAAGCGTGGGGTCGTAAGAGCCACCTAAGGGAGCAAACTCCGCAGCACAACACCACTAGAGAGGGAAAACTTGACACAAACCCTGTATCAACCCGTCTGGCCAGAGTAGTATAGTAATAGGCCGAAACCTCGTTTCTTTCTTTAGGAGAGGCCTATGTCCAGCAGTGGACTATTAAAGACTGTTGATGATATGCTTCAGCACAAGCCTCTTAGTACGTAGCAAAAGATACTACCGTATTTTTAGGTATGGAAAAAGCCGTTAATCCTGAAGATCCTGATCAGGATAATCGGCCAAATTTAAATTATTGTATTGTCATTAGTCCTTGATAAGTGTGCAAAGTTTTAAATTAATTACGACGATTTGAAGTGGGGCAAAATCACGTTCCAAGATTCCGTTATAAACATACGAGTACATATCAAGCTAATAAAAGCGTATTAAAAAGAGTAAGTGAAATCGATTTTAATCGATACTCCTCGGTCAAATCACGGTTGTAAAAACGTTCATGAAATGGTAAATTTAAACAAAATAAAACTTCACTTTTAATATTCAAACAAACGATTAAAAGTTCTAAGTTGTAAGCCCTAGGAGTTAATATTAGTTGTGGACTCAATGAGCAATGAACCGTGAATAAAGACCGTTGCTAAAGAAAACATAAGAAAAAAGGATTGCGATGGCTAGTACTCGTACCTACCTACAGTCTTTTTTGCGATGTTTAATTACGATCAGCGATTCGCTTTTACTGTTTCCTAATAAGTATTATCGTTTCTTAGTAATCTTAGTATCGACATCGACAATCTTAGGATAAAAGTAAAATTCAGTTTGGATCACCAAGTATCTTAAAAATTAAAGTTCCTTCACATTTCAACTTATTTTCGACTAGGTAAATATTTTTTTAAACATACTGTGAGTATAAAATAATATCATACAGATAATTTATCTTAGACCCTAGACTTGGAGCACAGCCCGTGGGAGTTGTAAGAGCCCACTAAGGGAGCAGACAAACTACGCAAGATAATAGCACTGCAAGGAGAAGGAAAACTTGAAATAAACCCTATATTAACCCGCCTGGCCAGCGTGGTACAGTAGGCCAAAACCTCCTTTCCACGGAGAGGCATATGTCCAGCAGTGGACTGTTAAAGGACTGTTAAAGGCTGTGTATTGATGAAGATCGTGTCCTGAGTTACAGAGTTCATAACCTCAATATGAGGCACACACGCATGCAAGCATGTCTCATGTACTAGGCGGAGTGTATTTTAAGTAAATTAGATACCGTTCTTGTCTTCGGACCGTAGGTAAGTATTTTTGATCATAAAACTCGATTTAGTTTTTACTGTTGTTTTGGAAGTCCCGAGAACCAAGTTAATAAAATTTAAATTTTCGCTTTAAGGTAAATGAATATTATATGCCATAAATGTGTTTTAAAATTATCATATTTTACACTTCATATACCTATTAATAGATAATTAAATTTAAAACCGTGGTCATACATAAGGACATGTTTGTATAGTACATAAATGTGTATTTTTCTGAGTGTTTAAGTGTAAAATCTTTACGTATTTGATTTCATTTACAACACTGAGATTATAGTAATCGTACATTGACACTAGACTAGATTCATTTTTTTATTTTCATAAACAAATAAACACATAAATGTGAAGGAACGCTTTCACGCCTAAACCTATTAAAATATGTTTTATAACTATTTTAGCCCGTAACTTTATTATCTTTAAAGTTTGTTCCTTCGGTTACAGTAAATTTTTTTCAGCATCTGCAAAGTACACATTTGTAAATCTATAAATAAATTAATAATTTATCCCGTTTATATTTATAATTTAGGCTATTTGGAATAATAGTGTAACGATTATTGGGCGGTCGCTAGTAAAATATACGTTAGAGAAAACAATATATTTTTAACTTTGTGTTCTGTAACTAAGATTAGCTTCATATCAAAGTGTAAAAAAAACGTCAGTCATACAAACAAATAACGTATATAAAGAGAACAGGTTTATGGTTGTTATTATAGAACGAAAAAAAGACATCTTAATAAATAGGTACATACTCGTAATATAAAATGATGATTCAAACGTTACTTGTTTATTGTAAACTATGTATTTCTTATATATAAAATGAATAAGTGTTCGGTAGTCTTACTAAAACTCGGAAATGGATATTACGATTTGCCTAGTTTTGGTATTGAAATATTTGTGGAAATCGAGGAAAAGTTTAAGCAGTGAGAAAATAAAAAATAAAAATATAAAAAATCACAACAAAAATTGTTAAAATGTCAATTTTATTATCCTATACAGAATGTTGCAAAAACGGGATAAATTTTATTAGTTTTAAAAATACAGACAGGTGGGGTGGGGGGAGCAGCTAGTTTTTTAATAAATTTACATTTTTATAATATATTTATGATAATCTTTTAACTTATGTCTTAATTATAATTACTAACTCACAGCTTTTTTAATTTTCTTGGCTTAAAGTAATTAAAAAGTAAAAAGTATTAGAAATTTTCACAGTTAAGTTTTTTCTTTCTTTCTTTAATGTTCCATGTCCCCTGGAAGGTGCAGAGGGCGTCCAAACCAAATCTTAATCACCTAGTGCCGTCAACCGGACACTTTAGGGTTTAAATAAAAAGATTGAAAATATTAAAACTAAACAGACCTTTACCATGGGTTCCAGATCAAGGATTACTCCATTTTTATCATTTTATCAATATTTATGGTATGTGTGGTGATGGATTAGGAATAGTCTCATAACCCCTATTCGTCTAGCGTAGTATAGTAGGCTAAAACATCCTTTCGGACTATTAAAGGATACTAAAGATGATGATGATAATGATAAATTTTACGACCTTGATACCTTTATGATCGGATCGGAAGGGTATTTTTTTTTTTCATGAAACCAAACGAGAACGGTACCCTCTTAACTAAAATATGTCATTTTGGACATGTTTTCATATACGTAGGGACCATCGCAATGTTTTTCCAGGAGAAGGTTTTTTAATGATAGTAGTAAAGGTACTCGTAGTTTAAAGAAATTGTTTGTTTTTATTTTATATACATATTTATGGCAGATTATAAAAAATCAGTAGATTAAAAATAACTTGATACATCTCACACATGGCCCTTTAACACCAAATTAAGCATAGCAGGCTCTGCCTAATTGGACATCAGATTGCCAGCTATGGTAACTGGGCTGCTGATTAACATACTTGAATATTTGCAAATACATTCACGTGTATGTTAATAATAATTACTAGCCTAACGGCCAGTCAATTAATGTAGATAATTTGAGTTTCGAAGCCCATTCCTTAAAGCCATCACAGGCCCAACCTATAAAACCTCCTCAACCGGGTTACGCCGAAGCCAATAAGAGCATTATTCTTCAACGATGATAGCTCGTTCCCACTTCCACTGGCCTTGAGATTTCAGAGTGTGATCAGAGGTTACGTAGGACAAAACGACAATTTTTTATACAAACTCAGACAATCCAATTGTAATCATTTCCTTCCTTATTGTGTGTTAAGAAACGTTTTCTGGCAAAACCTTCATAAACAATTGTTACAGGTTTCTAGTAATACTAAAGTGAAAAATATTTCAATTTATAACATTACCTAGAAATAATCATTTAAACAAAACAAATATGTTAAAAAGTAATACTCTTGTGCAAGTCAAAAGATATTTAGAAATGATCAGATAGTAAATTTGCCTGCAGCACTGTTGGCATAAAAATATATTACCTTATCTCGAGAATAGTACCTTTTTGTAGATAATTTATTCTTATTTGTTTGGCGGTATCGGTAATGACTATCCAAAATTTCACAAACACCAAAACACTGATTTTGATCGATAAAGATATTAGAAATAGTCTCTTTAACAATAGGTAATAACTTTGCACGTCAGCTAAGTTAATAAACAAAAAGAAAATACTTCTACCGCGATAAACAAGACCGTGTAATAGTTTTCTGTAAACATAACGTACAAACAATCGATACTCAGATGTTGCCAATTCAATGTACTGAAAAACATATCGGATCAAAGTAGTGCTATGTTAGCGTAAGGTTGCGCAAGCAGTTGACGTGACTTAAATACGGCTTCTCTCAATACCGTGATTTTAGTGCGAGTGATGATGATTTGATTGACCTGTTGGTTAAGTGGTGAGCGATCCTGACTACAGAGCCGATCGTGGTATTGATACCCATAAAATTAAAATAAAATGTGTGCGTCTCGGGACGGACGACAGAAGTGATAACTTAAAATAATCTAAGTTGAACGATTTAATACTGAAATTGTTTAACTTGAGAAAAGCTTAGGTTTTTACTTAAATTACATGTAAAGCGTCTGTCAGAATACGGCTAGCGTGTTAGAGTGAGAGAGAAGGAGCCTTCCTGCCGCTGCAATATGCGTGTGAGAAAGGAAAGCCATACAGACTGGCGCGCTAACGCGTTACGTAACGAAGCGTTTTACCCTCCCATAAGAAGTTATCATTTCAAAAATTGGTGTGTGATGAGTGTGAGAGATTTGTTCTGTGTCTGGGTGTAGTTTATCTGTACAAATAAATAAAATTGAACTGTCAGTTTATAATGTAATAATAATAGATTTTTTTCATGCTTACACGGTTATTTGCATGATACCTATGCCCAAAAACCAGTTTTAATATTTTTTTGTCTGTCTGTCTATTTGTGCCGGGTAATCTTCAAAACGGCAGGATTGATTTTGATAATATTCTACTAACTTAACTGTACGAGTAACTTAGGCTATTTCTTCTCTCAGAAAAACCCAAAAAAAATTTTGCCTGATTCGAGAATCCAACCCGCTAAGGCAGCGCTTTTCAAATTCCACGCGAACAAAGTCGCGAGCACCATTTAGTCTTTAATATAAACATATTTAGAATTTCATAAGTATGCTTATCAGTAGCCTAGTTATTATCATAAGATGCATCAAATTATTATTATAGCAGACAGTATTAATAACGAATTTTATAAAAACTTACCCTTGCAAGACCACTGACAGGGAAATTCTCAAACTCCAAAATAGAATCTTCTCCTAATCCCCTGTCCAGTTGACCAGAAAATGTTCTCGCAGCCATCACCGTTGCTAAAGACATGCCATCTCCTATAAAAAGGATTCCATTCTTCGCTTTATTTATGTTTGGAGTCTCCTTTAACTTTTCTCTTAGGGTATTTACTGCTGATTTCTTCCAGTAAGACCCGTGTTTCTCCTCTGCTGGAATGTAGACAGGCGTCATGACTGTGTCCAGGACTTTCTTCGGTCTCGGCTTCGGCTCCACATTTTCTGTAGAATATAAAAAAAATCTTATGTAGTTTTGATAATAATGATAATTAATGTTTTTAACTATTTAGATTACTTTATACTATTTATTTACAGATTGTCTAAAGGTTGACGTAATATATCAAGCAAAGACAATCCTTTATTGTGTTTTATCTATGCCGAGCACGGCGCCAAAACTGTTTAGTGTTGCCATCGAAAAGATAAGAACAAAAAGGCGAGAGATTCACGATTCCTACTCAAAGGTCAAAGCCACCTTGTAACAAATGATTTAAAATGTATCTTAATAAATTAAATAAATGATAATTTAAATGGTTGAAAAATCTTCAAATTTACATAACTATAACTCACCTTGTAGAAAAACAATTTAGCAAAAGATTGTTTTTCTACAATTACTCATCATTTTTTTGCAAGATAATGATTAGCCAAAAAAACAGGTTTTGTTCGAAAGTGACAAATACATGTCGGTTGTCAAATACAAAAGTTTTTTTTATATTTTTTGCTTTGACTCATCGATGAGTATCGAATAAAATCGAATAAACTCGAATTAGAGATATGCGAACCCACCCTGCTCGAGCTATTACTTACATTAGCCAATTCATCTGTATAATTAATATGTATACCTTTTCTAGCACAACTCTCAATTTTTCACCTAATCCTTAAAGTGCCAGATTAACAACAATAGACTATTACGTAACTAAAATTTTAGTCAGATAAATATGCGCCTTTACTCGTTGAGTATAATATAGATAGACGTCAAAGTATTTTAAAGAGATTTTATGAGAAAGGTTTATGAAATAAGTATCAATTCCTACACATTGACATTTTTCCATTGTTGTTTTGTTAATTTATTCATATATCAATATAATTAAAGTTTAAAAAACTGTAATTATGGCCACTGTTGTAACCACTTTGTCATAATTTTAAAAGTTTAAGAATAGTCTACTTTTTAAAAAGTGCCGTTTTATTTTTAAATTACGAGTTTACCGTCCCTGTAAATAGGCACAACATTTTTGTTCTTAATTAGGAGCTGGGTAAGTAGCCAATGTAACTCATTTCATAATTCCCAAGAATTAACACAGGACTTTCTGGTCCTTGATAAGATAAGGGTGTCATCGTTTCATGTGGTGCTCTATTTTAGAATAATTAATAAAACAATTATATGTTGCAAAATGTGCCCTATGAATTAATATTTTATCGATGCTGTACCTTAAGATTTGAGTTAAAACAAAAGTCAAAACTGGTAGCAGCCAACTTTTAAACTATAGCGTTCCATAAAATAATATGTTATTACTAGATTGAAATCGTTTGTAATCGTCTCTTATGTAGACTCTAAAGTGAAACATCAATACGCACAACAGTAACAATCTCTGTTTTTGTCAAATATTTAGCAAAATAAATAAAATAACATTGTACCTATCTAAAATCTATTATATGCCTGTGCCAATCTACAACCGCCATCTACAAGGGGTTGAGCCTTATGAGAAGTTAAGGCAAACAAACTCTTTTTTAATTCACAGATAGATACAACGGCATCATTAAATATACCACAACATTGTTTTGATATGTGCCAGTATGTCAGTTATTAAGGACTAAAGGGTAAAAAGGCAATGAAGAGAAAACAAGATAAAGAAAAGATGGAATAGATATGAAAGTAAAGTAAAACGTAAAAAATAAAATAAAATAAACAACCCACTAGCCCATACCACAATTACACTTAGAAATAGCCAGTGCTAAATTAATACCTAGCACTCTTGTCTTCTATGTAGACATACACATAAATACATATTAAGTATATACTTAATACCTACTCCTCTATTAATTCCGGTAAACATAATTGGTAAAAAAATAATTTAAAACTACAATATAACATGTTGCCCGTAATCAACTAGTGGAAACAATATATAAACACACGAATGTCAAATAAAATATAATTTATTAGAAAGCTATTACATTTTTTATCTATGGAACATGTTTTAAATACCAAAAGCAAGATGTTTTATCATGTTGATATTTCTTTTTACGTGACTTCAGGTTAATTTTCAATCGTGACCACAGATAAAGACAAAATTATAATCACTATGTTTAAAGATCTTCTACATAGTTATGATAGTAACATTGTTATCGCTAAGACAATATTGAGCAAGAACGAAGTGTTATACGAAGATTTTTGTAAGGCTTTAAATGACTAAAAGCCTGAAAAGCAAGGGAGGATTATAAGTCCCTAAACACAAGTTATAATTTAGAAAGTCTATTAACCCAGTGTATTTAGAAGTGCAATTTATGAATATAAAAGGATGACACGTAATTATGTCGATGAAGTTGAGATAAACGTGCGTTTATAAACAACCAACTAACAACACAAAATGAAGCAAAGATATTGTATTAATAATATAAATATATTGCTATGTTTATTATTTCTTTGCTTCATTTTGTTATTTTATTATTATTTACAATATAACCATGTCTGAATAATTCTATTCAGACATGGTAATATTGTGAATAATAATGAATCAACACAACAATATTAAGTAATAACTAAAAGTTAAGAAAATCGGGATCTATTTTTACACGCTTTATATTAGTTTCACTTGTATGTTTGTTTGTATGTTTGTTTGTAACCGACTCCTTTGGGCGTGATTTTGACTGACTTTAAACGGTCAGAATTCGTTCAAACTTTGTAGATATATCGAGGCCCGATGACAATACACTAATTAAAAAAAATATATATATAAATTAAAAAAAAAGCGTTTGTCGCCTGTTGTCAATAGTAAAAAGCACCCCACGCTTTTTTTTCAAATTTATTACAATTTATTTTCTATTTTTTATTTTGGTTTTCTATAAAATCGTGTTTTTTAGTTTTTTTAAACTATTATTTTTTTGTTGTTATTCAATTCCACTTGACTCATCTCACATACGATCGGCTAATAGACTGACAAGAATAGACTAGACCCTTGATGAACATACTTTTATATTTTTTATATCATACTAGATTTTTCCCGCCGTTCCGCCCGCGTGTATGTCGGATATAGCGGTAAAAAGTAGCCTATGTTACTCGCTAATAACACATGAAAGCGTAATAAACAAACAAACTCCCTTTTACATTGAAAATATAGGCATGGATACTCGTATAAATTTTCCTTTTATAGAAGAAATAATCGTAATCATTACACAATTTTTGTCATCCTAGAAATATAAACGTTATTGCCTCTATCAAGATGAGCAGTATTAATACTAACGGGACAGTTCATTAAAGATTAAAACTCAAAAACTGCGAATATTTTTTTAAATAGACATGCTCCGGATATACGCTTAGCCAGGACACCATGTTATGCCATTATTCTAGGTCAGGATTTAGTTACTATTGCGAAAAACGGTTTATAGAAGATGAAATAATAAGCAATTGTGAGAAGGCAATTGTGGATGATTCGAACACAATGGAAAATGGACTGGATCTATTGAATTATTTTATTTAGATACACCGATCTTTCAAGACCCTATGTTTGTTCGATTTATAATTTGAATTCATAACTTTTTGGTTGTAGACTTTCCGGCAATAGGTAATTTGAATTACAAGAGCCCTGACCTTGAGTCTACATTTCGTATCATACATACAAATTTACATTTTATGAATGCATATTTTGAATTTTGATGTACTGTGTTCAATATATTTTTTATGGTATAGGAGTGCAAACGAGCAATCGAATCGCCTAATATTTAGCGACTACCGCCATCCGTAGACACCTGCAACTTATGAGGCATGGGTGCGTTATCTTCCTATGAGTCCTCCCACAGAATCAAGGCGAGGGGTTTGGACTCCGGTAGCCTTAATCACTCGGTGGAAAGCAATGAAAGAAATGCTTAACACCCTTTTTCTGTGAGCCTAATCGGTGTAGACTACAACTTTCTAAGGACAGGCCTATGTTCAGCATTGAACTAATAAAGGCTGTTGATGATGATAAAATAAATCGACTTAAAATTCTTGACTTATTACGTGGAAATATTCCACCATGTCGTTTTATCATACAATCTTTGTAATATAATTGACACAAGTGTCATTTGACAAAACAATATTTAAGTCAAATTAATTACATATTTTTGAATTCCAATGTATATTACAAACTGTTCAAATTTGTTTTCAGGTAGAAACGCCTGAGCATAGCTAATTGCTTAGTACACAGCATTCGCTATTTGCAAAATTCTTCATTAACATATGTCGATATATTGCTTTTACAGTCATAACAATTACTAAGTTTATTTCTTTTAGGTGTAGTAAAAACGTATATGTATGGTTTTTATGATTGATAACAGTTAACTGGTGAAATGAAACAAGCAATATTACAAAGGCTTAATTGGTCACTGCGCTCTCAAATTTGAGCATTTAGGTATTAGAGCATAGCAACCTCTTTGGTATGCTCCTGTCTGTTTATGCTTCGTACTGGTGTGAAAATATAACTGTTAAGATTATTCAAACCATAAATACAGTCACATAGTAGTCACAGTGTTGACTACATATGTCTATAACATGCAAGACCGGTTTAGCTATTTTTAGCTATTTTTTTTAAATTTATAACATAGTTTATTAAAATACTACCTTTTTACACTACCTCTACATATAAATTAAAGATTTTCTTACTCCGCCAAACTTAAGATTAGTTTAAATACTTACAAAGCAGTATAAAGAATTCTCTTGTTTTTTTAAAGATTATGGTAACTTGTAACTATTAGTAGTTAAAGCGTCTGATTGAATTATATTGTGTTTCTACTCGTAAATTTGAAAATGACGAAGTTCTATATAACCGTTCAGTCCTTATTTTAAACCCTTTGGCAAGCAATTTCCCAAATCTTTTCTTAGTGGATGCTTACAACATAAAAGGCATCAACTGTCAAAATTTCAAGTTTGAAGCCAGCGGTTTAGGCGGCGGTTTAGTTTATGAATCAGTCTGTCAGTCAGGGAAATTAATTTTATATATGTATAGATAGATTAATGATATTTTTGGACATTT